GGCAGCTGCGCGGGGGGCTGCCGGCGCTGCCCCTCGGGGTGGGGGCTCCTCCGCCGGGGCTCTAGGTTCCCTTCCGGAGAGGCAGCGTGTAGGCGAGCTCCGCACCGCCGTGGTCTCTCCCCTGCAAGAAGGGCGACACAGGGAAAAGCTCATTCTCGCCTCCGCTCCCACGTGCACCCCTCCAGCCAGCCCCGACGGCGCTCGTTACCCTTCATTAGTGTCACGTACGTTCGTTTTGGCCCACCACATCAGAAGTTTCGGGGGTTTTATTTTTTCTCATCACCTCCAGCAAGACGAAGTGTGTCAGGCCCGTATAAAGGCCCTGACGGACCAGGAGAGCAAGTAACAGCGTCTGGAGGAGTTCAGAGAAGGCTGAGAACAAGGAGGGGAAGAAGAGGGCTCCAAAAAGCAGAATTCTGAGCCAGCCAAGAGGGATTCATAATTAGATCAGCGTTTTCAAAAGGCTGAAGTTTGAGGTCACAGAGGCAGCTAAAAGAAGAAAAGCTGAATTCTTGTGCAGGTCTGTCAAACGCTAAGGCAGCTTTTTTTCCCCCTCTTGTCATCTTCCTTTTATTTTTTTGAGCCCATTTTCATGAATAATTACCATGTTGAAAAAAAAAAATAAGTAGCAGGGATATTCTAAAATCAAGTGAAATTAAAGATAACATCATGAATAAGTGGGAGCCTGCAGCTCCCAAGGAAAGCTTTAAAATGACATTTAGAACATCACTGTCGGAACAATGCAGTTTACAATCCTGATCCTGAAACAACACGGCAAGATTAATCTTACATAAATGCATTATCCTTAAGCTAAAGTCTTGATGAAGTGAAACAGACCATTTTAAATTAATGCAACATAAAATATGGCACCCATGTAAAATCCAAGCAAGTTTCAAGCTGTGCCTATGGCAGCCCTTCGGAATAGCTGAAGAAAGCCCAGCTCTGGTTGACATAATGTATTAAGTGCATCTCTTTTGTTAATAGATTTAGAAAATTCCTAATTAAACCTGGCCCGAGATTCATGACATTTACCAGTCAAAGTTTGGTTTAAGTCGGCAAGATTTGCAGCAAAATTAAAGAAAAAAAAAGCTGCTGTACAGATGGCAGTATATTTGAAATGTAGGAAACAGTAACTGAATGAGAGATGTGATAAAACTTCCTTAGTTGGATGCTGAATTTCCTGCAGTAAACCAAGAAAGATGCTTTACATTTTTGCGCGGCTGCATCATGCCCGAGAGACAGAGGCACAATCCCGGGAGGAGGCATCCATCATTAAAACGTCTCCTATCGAACCGGCTCTACGTACACCGGGGAGCGTGGCAGGGCTTTGCCGAGCCAGGGGAAGCGGGAGGGAGGGGGTGGCAGACGCCTTGCCCCAGTTTCCCTGGCTGAGAACGGAAGAAAGGGGTGTGATTCAGAGTGTGTTTTTCGGACGGACAGCCTGCGGGGTGCTGGGCAGCAGAGACATGCCCTGCCGGTCTGGGCACCACCTGCCCAAGGACCACACAGCAGGCCACGAGGACCCGTGAAAAGGCCGAACCATCCTCCTCCCATGCGGCAGAGACGTGGCAGGGGCCGGGGGCAGCGGGTGGGTGGGTGACGGGACCCCTCTGATGCACAGCCACGCTCTCAGTTTCACCCTGCCAAAATCTACCCAGTGGCTCACCCCCTCGTATGTGCACCATCCCAAGGGGCCAGAGGGTGGCCCAGCCTCTTACCCATCCAGTGTGGAACCAAACCCGTGTTTTCAACAAGATCAAAAGCCACCCCTCAGCACGTGGGTTTAAAACACGTCAGTGGGGTTTTGAACCAGCTGATACATAGCAGGAATTAATTTTTCCTGACGTGTGAAAACTTAAACATTTTAAAAACTAGGCTTTCTTCACTTTCAGCCTTTTAGAGAGGCAAAAAACCTAGGGCTTTTTCATAAATGAAACCTGCAGCTCCCACGCCAAAAGCTGCTTTCATACCGACTTCTAGGGCTTTTCAGCAGTTAACGGGGAAAAAATCAGTTAGTGGGCATGTTAATAAATTAGAGACAGATTATGACACTGAAATAAACTGCGATCATCGGTTTGGAGCACAGCTACCTCTCCGGCTTGCTGGCAAGGGGAAAGCACTGGGACAAGGACTACAGCTTCTAATCCTGTCTATAGTGCTCACTACCTAATGGACATACAGCACATGCATATTACTCCGAGGCTGGTAGAGCAGCCTCCATGATTCCTTGATTGTTTGCATTATAATCTCCATATGTATGAACGAGACAAATTAGGTTGCCATTTATTTGTTCATTATCTATTATTTTGATTAATGGAATTCTTGTTCTCAGAATAACTACTTAAAAATAACATTTGCAATAATGAGGACTGAACTATTAATCATGATCTTTAGAAGAAACTCTGCAAGGAACTGGGGCAAGACATTTCGTAGGAACAAATGTCATAAATAGGACTTCTAACAGACAGTGCTAAATTTCCACATGCAAAAAAGAAACCCCAACCAAACCCAGAAGCCACCGGTTTAAGTAACTTTTTAATTTGTTGTTTTGGGGTTTTTTGCTCTTCTCTTCAAAGTTGCTTTAGGATAAGCAGGGCTGTAGTACTGCTGGACTATGAAAACATTAGAGGTATCAGATGCCCCAAGCAATACAATATATATAAACACACACACTACATATTTATATATATTGGGGGTGGTGGGGGTGTGTATATATACATATATATATATATAGTATTTTCTTGATGATTCTTTCCAACCTGTCTGTCCCCCCAGTTCTGACTACTTACATTCATGCTATCTCAAAAATCTGAACACTGCAAGAAATATTTTAAGATACTTATAGTGGAGAACATTAAGGCTTATCATCTCCTTGATGAAGGTGGTTTAGCCCTGTCACACAGAACCCTGCTATGCACCTCTCTTCTCAGTGAACGAGGCTCAGGAACTGTGGTACTCACAGCTCTTTCCCAGGAAAGGATCTTTTCTGTCTTCTGGCATGTGGAAAGCTTGCCCCAGAGACATCCATGATAACAACAGATCTTTTTTTTATCCCTGTGCTGTAGCTTTTAACTGATTTTCCTGTGAGTAAAAAGGTGTTTTTCCAGAGATGGAAAAGGTTGGAGTTTAGGGGGATTTGCTTGTTTCACTCACAGGCAAAGCAAATCACAGAATCACAGAATGGTTTGGGTTGGAAGGGACCTTAAAGACCATCCATTTCCAACCCCCCTGCCATGGGCAGGGACACCTTCCACTAGACCAGGTTGCTCAAAGCCTCGTCCAGCCTGGCCTTGAACACTTCCAGGGATGGGGTCGTACCGAGAACCTGGCGTCCCTGGCTCCAGCACTGCAGATACACACTGCTTCACCTATACATACCCTCAATTCAACAGAACTCTTCCTCACTGCTCACCAGTAAATCATGCCTTTTGAAAACCCAATTACTTGTCCCTTAGAGTTTTTAAAGCATCCTATCTGACATAGCATTGACAGAGGATAAACTACTTTTCTAAAGCAGGCCACGTTCTAACAGGTTTTTAAATACACACCAGAGAAGTTAAACACAAGACATACGTATTAGAAACTGCTACCGCTGCTGCCACCGTTCTGCAAAAGCAGGCTGGAGGCTGACCCCTGTGCCACTGAACGCGTTTGGGAACTGGGCTCCTGGCTGGAATGGCGTGGCATCAGGCGGCGTCTCTGAAACAACCCCATGCTTTAGGAGAGCTTTGCTTTGAGAGCTGCAGCGACTTCGAGATTCCCATGGTCACAGGGACCCTTCCAAAGGGGAGACAGCTTTTGTCTGGCCATGTACAAGCAACCGGAGTGCGCTCCCCGAATTCATGCCTACTAAATCAGGTCTTTGGATGCTGCACAGTGTATTCCAAATTAAGATACATATTCATTCTGGATAAATAAGCTTAATTATGGATACATTGGGATATTTAGCATCCATAAAAATATTCAGAATATTCAGTATGTTTAATATGGCAGCGTTTCAAGAGAATCTACATGACTTTGCACAGATTATATTGACTCGGGGTATGTAATGAGCATTTCTTTGTCCTTTAGACAAAGAATAGTGGAAAATATTCCAGCATCCATGGGAAATTCACTTGAGGTGAAAATGTCATGTGTCATTGTTGTCGTGTCCCCCTCCCCCCCCCCTTTATTTTTAAAGCATTCAGGACAGTAAATAGTGTTACAAAGGAGGTGAACATCTTATTTCCTGCATTTTGTTTATACTTCATCAGTGCTGATGAGAAAACACAAAACAAGCCTAGTGCTAGTATCATCAAACGTGGGGGTGTATGGTCTTTACACGGCCCTATAGGTGGCCTACTTTTCGGCGATGCTCAACACCTGCATGTCCTGTTGGTGGTTCATTACCCTGAATAAGGTTTCCTATTTAGACACCTAAACATAGATACCTAGCTGGCTGATTTTTGAAAAAGCCTGGCTGTAGACCCTATTTTCAATGCATGGAAGTAGAATTATTCTGTGAGAAAACCGCTGTATAACGTAGCACTGTTGTAAGTTACTATGATGGGGGATTTAAAAAGCCCTACCCAACATTATTCCATAAAGGAAACCTTTAGAGATGATCTTCTGGTTGACTACTGAAGGGAATGGGGGAACTGTGAAATCCTAATGTTAATATTTTTACTCTTTAGCAGACTACTCCGGGGAAGATATTCTACCTGTGAGGAGGAAACATTATGTAAAGAGAATTGCTTCCACTTAATATAAAAAAAACTCCACACCTTTCATACTCGAGCTACCATACGTGGTAACTATTGTTTCTTGCTCAGAGCATGTGCATGGCACTTCCGTAACTTGAACTGACTTTACACCGTAAACTCTCATGAAGAGATCTGTCCCCAATTAAGAAACGAAATGAAGACACGGAGTGACAATGTTTAAAGTGGGAAATCATAACGTTACTAGAACGCTGCAGGCATCGTTCTGGGTGCGAGCTCATTTCTGTGCTTCTGAAGGCCCCTCCAGCCGCAGGTAGAAGCGAGCGCGCTCCCTCCCCAGCGCCCAGGGACCGCGCGGGTGGAGCCTTCGGGGGGAGCGCGAAGTCTGCTCGCAAGGAGAACAAGCGCAACGGCAGATAACTGAATAATCCTGACTGACACAGACGCTGACAAACTGAGACAAAGGCTGATACTGAGCAGCAAACAAGACAAAAGAAAGGGAACTATCTCCCGGAGAAGGGATCATACCGCAGATTCTGTGGAAGAAATACAGACTGGCAAGTGACGAAGCAATTTATGAAGCTAACCCCTACCCGGTGTTCTGCTGTACTGAGAGATGCTGTAATTTAATCAAATGCTTTGAAGACAGATTGACACGGCCTGAGACTGCAAGAGCAAACTACATTTGCCGTGGAAGAAGTTAGTCAATAAATTCTGGCAGGGCAGTAGTTTACAAAGACAAGATTATGAGTAAATTTATTGTGCGGTAATACAATGTGAATAACAAAAGAGTCCAGATGTGGACTGAGCTGCCACATCTCTTTTTGGATGGATAGATAGGCGGTTTCAGAATTTTTTGGAAATTAATTTCTAACCTTGACCTTATATTGTCTTTCAGAGGGGGGAAAAAAAAACAAAACAAAACAGATGACTTCAGAATCCGATCTCAGCTACAGGTGAGACAAAACCATGAGCATGAAAAGATGAAAGAGCATCTTTAAAGATGCTTAGGTTTATTAAATCTACATTAGTAAACCGATGAGAAGCAAAGACTAGTTGAGCTAGCTTGCAGAGCTGTAGTGTTTCACACTGTCACATGCTTCCACGGAGAGGTATGTCCTTGCACAATTTTACTGGATAAGCATCGTAAGCAGAGCACTTTCATCCGTTTGTCCAACTATAGCTTAACTTTGCTGCTACTGTCCCACAAAAGCAATGCAAACACCACCCACCACAGCTACCACAGTGCCAAGCCATCTTGAAAGCTTTATGAGAAGAGCTGTTAGCTACTCCTACGGTCGGACAACAACTCAGGATACTCCTTTGGCAGGGGTTGGGTTCCCCATGCGGCCTTTGGGCCAGGAAGAGGCAACTGCCACAGAAAAGGTGCTCCGCTGAAGGGTGCAGCACACAAACTAGTCGAGGTGCTGGTGCCTGGTGAGGATGTTTAATATTAAGCAAGTAGAAACCAACTCCGCAGCTTCAGGAAGCTGGGAACTAGCATGGAGATGCGCCCTCTGAGCAAGGCTGAAACCCCCTGCAATCGTTTAAGTAGAAGACAGGAGGACAGGAAAAGCGCTCTAGTCACAATTAAACTAAAAATGTGGATGAAGGGAAAAGGGAGTGATGCTGCAGGCAGTTCCACAGTGAAAGAAAACTGCCCCCGAGAAGGTGTGCCCTGAAACCCACCGGCCAGGCTGGAAGATGGGGCGGGAAGGTCCAGGTTACAACACGGTTCTCCAAAGACATAAGATACACAAAACAAATTCACTTTAATGGTTTTCTATGTAATACCTTTGTCATGTATAATTCAGAGTGCTGAGAAGCATTTGTTAAGACAGAAAACTGTGTGCTAGGAACAGGAAAGTGCACCACCACACACAGTCCACAGAAACTGGAAGATATGAGCCTTCTGAAGGCCAGATACTGGGTATCAGGGTTCAAGACTCTTCAGAAAAACACAGACTAAGTGTTAATTGTATCGTCACAGCAGAAGTGGTGTTAGTTGCAAAAGCAAATCATTCCAGGAATCCTTTAGGTACTATCTCACTGTTATGTATCACTGTGCATTACAGAGTTCCCTCTCCCACCCACTCCCCAGTAAGCCATGTTTATTTAAACACTAACTACCTGCTCTGCAATTAACTGACTCTTCCATATAACAGACTTTGATAAAACGCTTAAAAAATTTAAGAGCTACAAACCAAGCACCACCGTTATTATTTATACATGTTATAAACCAGTCAGCGCTTTAGTGACAACTATCACTGTGCAACTTTTTCCCAGCTACCACATTAAAACCCAAACATCCAATTAATTGTAAAACATACTTGTTTTGGGGCATCTGCGGAGGTGGTGTGAACTTCAGTACCTCGGAGTCCATTAGACTCAAATACCACTGTGGGAACAAGGGGGCTTGTTAACAGATGAACATTCAAGCTTCGTTAGTGTGTGTACATTATTTGAGACCATTACAGATTAACCACGTTCAAAAAAAGACACCAGCTCCTAGCCTGTGGCCGGAAAATACCAATTTACCGTAACACTTACTGTAAGAGAGCGTGCTAATGGCAGCCTAGGGCCACTGCCCTTTTTAATTCAGACTTCGGCGCTGAAGAAAGCAATCACTGACAACATTAATTATCAGTGTATGTGTAAAGGGACCCTCTTCTTGCATTACTTACCATTTGGCCTCTGTCATTTTGCATCAGGCTGGCTTATGTATGCATCATTCACACTTTTCAGGAGGAACCCGCTAGTCTCAGTGTCTCGTGCAATGCTCAGGAGGTCTCTCAACACCGGTGGCTTCAGCCTCCTACAGCCTCAGCCACGCACCACGCCAGGTTAAAAACGGCTGGTAGGGGTTTCCCGTTTTAGGGCCAACTGGTCGGCGGAAAAATCTCGTTTCCCGCAAAAATGTTCCTGTCAACAGCAACGATGAGGCAAAACAAAGCCTTATGTTGTGCTGAAAGGGGTACTTTGATTTCAATTCGTGCTGGTGGCAACAGAATTCATTAGCATATTCATTTCTGAGTACCCTACTCTCTAATTAAAATACAACATTTGCAAACAGACTTATCTGAAATGCATTGCAATTTTATGGAGTTCGGGCAGGGATCAGGTAAGCAATATCCGGAGAACAAGAGCAATAGTCGTAAAAATAAAAACCCCTGTCTATTAGATTTAGGTACTGGAATTACTCAGGTTAACGTGGTACGTGAAACGCAGTTCTTGGCACTTTGCCAGCTAGATCCAAAAGCAGGCAAGCGGGAGAGGGAGAAAGCGAGTGTGAAAAGGTACCTGCGTGGGACCTCTGGTGAGTCCTGAGGTGACTGGGTTGGGTAAAGCATTTTCCACATTCTCTGCAGACGCAGTCTCCTTGGCGTGTTTGTGTCCTGAGCATCCCTGTAGTCGGGAGGGAGGGAGGGATGGAGGGAGGAGGGGGTGAGGAGAGAGGAAAGTTGAGAAGAAAACATTATGCCAGAAGAAAACATCATTAGTATGTCTAATGTGTCATTATGTGAGGCTACCTTCAGGCCCTGGATGACAACTGTCAGCCTTCATCTAGGCACTGGCTGACAGGCCAGGCACACACAGGACTGCAAGAATGCATAAATTACATTGAATTAAAAACTGCTCCCCATGATGTGCCCGCACCAGGACTGGCATGTCAGGTGTGCGCTTTTCAGAGCAGCTGGATCCACTTCTCAGCCATCACCCAGCTTTGTCAAGCAGTACATCACGCAAATCAAAGTGACTCCAGCGTGGCGGAGACAAGTCACATGGATAATAGGAAGTGAGTAGGACCAGAGCCCGACTGTCCCCCCCGGGCGGCAATACCTCAGAGACAAATGCAGAGCGAGCGGAGCCATCACAGACTGATCAAACCTTTTGCCCCTGCCTACCTGCCTGCCGGTGCTGCTTTGACCCCGGACCTCTGAGGCAGAGACGAAAGACATCTGTGAATGAAAGTGTCATTCCGGACATTTTGAGCTGGTAGCAGTGCGGCAGCCTTCCCCCAGCCCTGGGTAAACATGTTTTCTAGGCCATTAGCATTTGTTGGAAAACCGCTCAAACCTCTCCTTTTCCTCCAAAGGTCAGTTTACAGCAACTGACTTAAAGGGCTGGTCTTTGTCTTTTTGCTGCTGATCAAAAAAGACACATTTGACTTTTATTGGGCTTTTTTATTATTGTGAAAAAAACCCCTATGTTTGAACATCATCTTTTCTATTTTGGTAAAACGCCCTCCTCGGCAGGAAAGAGTTGATGTTTCCATTTGCCACTGGAATACTTCGGCTTTTAAAGAAATTCTCAGGGGTTTGTCAGCGGAAGCGAAGTTTCAGCTTTTCTTTCCTTCTTCCCCCCATTACAGCATTTAAAAAGAATAAAATTATGATCAAAATGTGGCAACACACACATACACACACTCCCCAGCTGAAATATCAGCTGTAGGATGTCGGAGGGCTTCATCTGAAATACAGGCGCTGTACCTGAAAACAAACGGAGAAGAACAGGGGCTGCCATTTGCTCGTGCTGGTATGGCACCAAGTGCCCTGCGACAGTCTCCACCACAGCACATACTGAAAAGAAATGTCTGGCTAGGAAAAAAATCCTAAACCCACTCACAAATTGTTCTGCCTTTTAATAATAGCACCTCCTGCAGATGGCAGCACAGTCTGTGTAATGCAGCTGAGCAAGCTCCCAACAAGTATTTGACTGCTAGGAATTTAAAAGATGACGATTTAGGGGCAAATCCAGACCATATATACTCAAACACACGTAAAAAGAAACTCCAAAAACCAGCCAACCAAAAAAAAAATCAAGTAAATTTCCATGAGAGCTTCACTGTGCTGTAAAGAGTCCGATTTGCCTTGTAAGGCAGTCAAAATGAAAGATTTTCTAGTCTTTTACCAGCATTTTCTCTCACTGGCCAGAACGGCAGCTGCCAGCCGGAAAGCGAAGCTGAGCAAAGCGTGTTGAGGATCCAGACGTGGCATTTGCTGGGCCGCTGTGCCTGCTGCCAGACAGGCAGGGACAAGCAGGGCAAGGCTCTGCTACCAGCCAAGCAGCTCCTGCGGAGCCTGGGAGACCCGGACTCCTCCAGTGGGTTTCTGCCACCTCTGGAAAGACACTGAATCTCTCTGCATCCCCAGTCTCCCTCTGTGAAAGGCAAACAGGCTTGTCTCTGCAGCCATTATGGGCCCGATACAACAGCCTTCATGGAAACACTGCTCCCGCTGGAGTCGTGTGTGAGGCAGGTTGAGGATGCTGTTGGAAATCACGTGCCCTGCACAAACACTGAAGGTGAGTGGGTGAGGACTTTGGTCTGACCCCTCTCTGGCACTCACTTTATCACAGGTATTTAAAAAACAGGTGGAAAATATGGATTGCTTCCAGGTATATTTGCCATTGTCGCGTTTCCTAAGGAGCACCATAAGGCTTTTGATAGTTGAGAGCTCTGAGTTATGGGCATCATTGCAGCAAGGCAATACCCCTATGAGTCATCACTCAGGTTATCCGAGATGCGAACAAAAGAGGGTGGATGACTACAGGTGTTAGCAAATTAAGGTAAATGAATGTGACTGTCTGAACGGGAGCTCCGGCTAAACGGATGCTCAAGGCCGGGCTAAAGAGTGCATCTGCTGCCATAACCCATCCTTCCCCAACACGGGAAGCGTCGTGAATAAAATAAATATCCGCTATTAAATACAACACTAAGATTCTCTCTACAAGTGCTTGGGAAGACTGGGCAGTGTGAGACAAACCTAGCGCAAGCACTGCCCGCTTTGTGTTTGCGGCTGGATCACAACAGTGCGTACAACAACTCTCTTTTCCAAGGACGCATTGGAATAGACACAAATGTAAAAGAAAGGATCCCAGAAATAAATCCAGTCACTCCAAGGTAAATTGAACGCTGTCATACCACACACTAAAACATTCTGCTATGATCCAAGATGAGGTAGCATACCAAACACCTACATAAAGCCTATTGGGAACGTTCAACTGGGGGGGGGGAGGGGTGAAGTCACGTGACAAATAGTATACCTGAGTGAGGTTTTTGGTGGCTGTTTATGTCACGATTGCCATACTCACACTGCCATATTAAGACTTAATTGTGTAATGCACGTGGTCTCAGAGGGCCCGGTCTAGGGCCATGTGTTATTTCAGACAAGGTTCATTTACCCTCCTCCATTTGCAGTTGGTAGGATCTTGTTCCTTTTGCCTGCAGCAGCTTTTTGTTTTAGTGCTATGAAAAACAGCCGTCATGCCAATTGCTTTGGAGAACCATCAACAACCGGGAAGTTGTATATAAAATAAAGACAAGCTACATAAAAAACAAAGTTTCAAATTCTGAAAACTTGACTGCTGTAAAACACTTGGATTGAAAGAAAGAGATTTCAAAGTAGAGATGGCTACTAAATAACTCCCAGTTAAAATGTCTCTGGAAATCACTGCCCAGCAAAAACATTCTGGCAGTAAAATCCCTCCTTTACAAAGCAGATAGAGACCTCCTCGGAAACCCTGCCCCCTACTTTACTTTGCCCCAGCGGGTCGTCGTGGGCTTTCAGGTGACTGCATGCACTAAGTCAGCCTCCAGCTCCTGGCCTTTACTGTTTCTCTCCCTCCCTCTCAACACGGCTGGGAGCTCATGAAGATCATTAAGATTTGTCTGAGCAGGTTGACCCAGTGTAGTAGTAAAGAGCATCAAGGAGTGCACCCACCTGAAGGGACCCCAAGTTGATGGTGGAATAACAATGAACTTGGTACTTAGAGCAGGAAGCGGGCAGGGAGAAACTTTAGACAACATTCCTAGGCACTGAGATAGCAAAAGCAAAGTCAGCTGCACAGAAACAGGAACGCTGACCTTGCAGTTTTAGAAACTGAGCTGGTCCTCTTCTGCTTCCGTAACACAAACCAGGGGCCTGACGTTAGTTGCAATCATCGCACAGCCATCTAACCACCTGCAAAACCATCTACTCAACAGTAGTAACAGTCCGCTCCTACACAGCATTGCTTTTAACTGACAACAGGGTGGCTGAAAGGGTGCACCTCACGGACTACTTCAGATAGATTTTGCCTTCCTGTCTTCTCCGAAAGGCCTTCCATCAAGGCCTGACCAAACACTATGGCTCCTATCTCGCCTCACAGCTGCCAGAGCCGTCAACCTGCACACACCTTCTGGGCACTACACCACAGCTGTCCTTAGACCACCAGCTTCCAAATGTCCTGGAGGGGGTTCATCCCACTCGCAAAATGGGGTCACAAGCTCCATTTCACACCTGCTTTTGACAAAAGAGAGAGCATTATGCCAGGTGAGAACACTACAGCACCAGCCTGGAACATGTACTCTTTTCTTGAGGAGCTGAGTTCTTGCACACCTTCTGCTAAGAGAAGCAGCTGTGCATCTGACTCCACCAGGTCAGACGGGACAGTTTACAAATGCTGAGAGCTGGGACTGTGGCTTCCATTCTGCCCCCCTACACACACATCCCACCCCCCATCTCGAGAGTAATACATCAGTGTGATTTTCAGTTTCCAGTGAAACAAACTACCCTGGCAGAAAGTCAGAGGGGTAGGGTTTCAAATGCAAATACAAAGGTTTCTTTTCTTTTTATTTTCAGTTCTTTTTACGTGGCAGCTGACTGGCAAGAGGCAGGACAGCTCTGATACTTTTCTAGTCCCTGAACTTTTAAACTGGCTATTTGCACAACTGCCTTTCCTGCTTACGTGCACTAGCAAGCTCATATTCGGCCCTCCCTCTTTTTAATTATAAACATACAAACGGATCAAAAGAATAATTTGAAAAATACACAGCAGTCTTTGGTATGGACAAGGAAGATCTTAAGATTTTTGTCAAGACAGACAAAGGCCACTGAGACGTAATTATCTATCTCTGTTGTTGGAAGACTTGTTTGCAGACAAAATTGAACAAAACCTCCAAAATAACATCACAGATAAGCCCCAGAGGATGTTTATTTTGCCCGAAGCAAAAAGATTATGATGTGTGCCAGCACCAGCATATCAGGGGGATCTTCGGGTGACAGCGCATCTGTGTAACTTTAGCCTGCTTGAAGCAAGGGGACAAAGGAACGGTAATACTCCAGGTGGAACCACATACATTTAACCTGCGACAGAAATGTCACGCAGTGCACGAGGGGGGATGCTGCACTGCCAGAGATCAGTAAACAAACCTATTCAAGCCTATCCAGAAATGATAAAAACAATGAACTCGTAATCCCAACCATTAAAGGGAGAGGAGGAAGAAAGTGTGAAACAACGTGTCGTGGCTCCAAAGCAAGCAGGAACAAGCAAACATGTCCTTCAGCTATGGAAAGGCTTGTGGAAATCTTACCTGTGTGATCCAGGACAGGGCTGTTGGCACCGCAGGTTTGGTACAACGAAGCAAGGTCCTTTGGAATGTATGTTTTAAAGATATTTAAAATGTCCAAACGTTTCTCATGCCCGTCTGATCCTGGATCCTGTTTGCTGGAGTGTAAAGCCGGAGGAACTCCCGCGGCGCTAGGCTGGGGCTGCAGCAGTGGACTCGCTCGTGCTACCGCTGTACAGTTTGCCAATGTCCTCATCTCATTCCCAGCCTTCACATGAGACTCCCTCTGAGGCACCAACGGCTCTTCATGTTTAGTGTACTGCTCGCTTTTGCACAGAGTATGATACTGCGGCGGTGGGTTGAATTTGGCCTTCATGGAGTCAGATGCACAGTGCTTACCCACAGGGGCAAAACTAGTACTTCCTTGGGGAACCACGTACTTTTCCACTTGCTTGCTGTTGGTGGGCTGCGTGCCAGGCCTGGATATAACCGTCTGAGTAGGCGTTACACTTCTGCTGTAGGCTCCCATTTGTGTATGTTTGGGATTTGCTTCGTATTTACTTTTTTGTTGTGCTGCTATGCTGTATTGCTCCTGGGAATGGTTTAACTTGGGCTGTCTGTACCCCTCCAGACCTGATAAGCGCGGACCACAGTGGCCAAAGGCATGACCGTCCTTTGACTGATGTGTAGTCCCGGACTTTGCAGCCATCCCAACAGAAAGGGAGCTGCTTTTGGACCCTGGCAATGCACTTGGCACTTGAGTGCGCGTAAATCTGGCAATGGGCAAAGGCTGGCACTCCTTACCTCCAAGAACAGGAGGAGGGCCGGTACGCCTGCTCCTTGCCAGAAAGACCAGGTTGTTTTTAATACTCTTGAATCCATTCTGTTGAACCCAAGGGGGGGCCATCGAGTTACAGCTGATTTTGTGCAAAATTCTTTTGTGCATCCACAGGACTTCAGGGTAGTAGGTCTTGTGACTGCAGAAAGGACACGGGTAGACAATTAAAGCAGCCTGCAAGGATGTATTCAGATTATTGCATGAATTATCCCTTGTTGATTTTTCACTCAAATCGAGCGGAGCTACCTCTTGAGCTTCAGCACCTTTTTCTATCAGGGGATGCTCCCTGTGTAAGTCTAGCAAATTTTCTCTAGTGTGACCAGCCTGCACTTCAGGTGACGTTTTCAAGTCCATGGCCATGTTTGAAGACATCTGGCTCACACCTGAAGCAAAGCTAGCAACGCTACCAGAGCAGGGAAGCCCTTGGCTATGGTGAAATGCCGGCATCTTTACGTCCACAGAACCTTTTAGATCTTGGTATTTTGAAAAGGGCTCCTTGATAATACTCTCCAGTGTGGACATCAGGGCAGGAATCTCTGGTTTAGATTCCCTGGCCTCGTTTTCTCTGGCATTGCTGCTTCCTAGCTTCGGGATTTCATCCAACTGAGATGTTGCCATCGGGGTTTCCTCTTCAGAAAAGTTGCAGTGGTATGGCTTTTCATCTGAATGGGACAAACAAAAAACCATCGTTATCAATTTATGCAGAAAGGAGCCCAAAAGACAGAGCAGACTTCAAGATTAGAATAAGACAGCAGGAGGAAAAGCAAACTTCAGTATTAGCACCATAGTGACATGCTGGGGACTCAATGCACTGCATAAGCAAGAAAATCTTGAAACCGACACAACAGCTCAATTAACTTTTAAAGGTGACTGTGAAGTCTGGATAAACTCCCTAATGCTGCATGTTCGTGACATTTTGAAGAAAGAACAATTCAATAATACACCCATGTTAAAATTCTGGGACCGCAAGAAAAATAAACAAATAGGCAACCATTTAATGCTTTAACAAAAGCAAAGATCATGGAGCCAGATAAGACCGGCCTAGTTAAAGGTCTGTCCAGCACTTCCATTACAAGCCCCTATTTTCAAAGGGTTTATAACTCAGCAATAAAAATTGGCTCCACTCTGAAATGAAGCATATAAGCAGGTACAGCATGCAGAATAAATTGCTCACTTAAGAGGGACTTTTGCAGTGGCCAAGGATAAAAGGTGAGTTATGGAAGACGTAAATTTTAAATTTTCCATCCATTAGTTTAAACCTTTTTTCTTTTTTAAACATACTTTTTACATTTGAGTCAAACTTTAGGAAGATTTTATGACCTCTCGATCCACTGAGAGACAAGGAATTCAGCATTTTCAGCCATTTAGATTATAGAATTCAAACCAGACTTTCAATTTGTCTCATTTACCTCTTTGCTTCTCAGCTCTCCAGAGTAATTTCTCTACCGAACACACGTCCTGGCAAGGGAACATACTGGGCAGTAATTAAAGCCGTTTAGGGGGAAGAGAAGAGTAGGATTTGTTTTGGTGGGAGCACGGCTACCTCTGCCTGCTGTCCCAATGCCGATCTCTGAGAGTCACTGATGAAGCCGTTGAATCCCTCCGAATCAGTTCACAAATCACTTCCACAGAGATTTTCATCACAGCAGTAATGCTCATGCACTGAATCCATTTAACGTGTAACTGAATTGAATCATCTGACAAACTTTCAGTTTCAATTAACATGCAGCTAATGAGCCACTGCCAGGCAAGTGTAAGGAGACCATGCTCCATCTGAAGTGTCACCAGTCCAAACTGATCACCACATCCGCAGGAGCGGTGAGAACGGGAAAGGAGTGAACTGCTCCAGAGCTGCGCATCCTCTCGCATCAACTCCTAAAAGCCAGCGCTTCAGCGAATTGAGCGCTGTTCGTTAGCGCAGCGCCACGGGCGTTATTCTGCGTGGCGCAATGGAAGAAGCAAGTCTTCGGCTGGAGTTTCACTGCAAGTGAAGTCTACTTAGCCTCTTCGCCTTCAATTCAAGCAAAAAATTCTTAAGCTTTTGTTTAATTTGAGGTAATTAGGTTAAAAATATATTTGAAGCCATTTGAACCCATATATTTGAAGCCTTGCAGGGCTGAGCGCACACTCTGGTGAGATCATTTTCCTTCCAAACTCTCTAAGGGGGTAAATTCAGGGGGAAAAAAAATACCCACAACCCAGAAACTTGTTTTTCCTGTATTTCAGGGGGCAAGGCTCTGGGAAAGCACATTCCCAGCCCTACTAGCCAAATTTACAGTTTGGAACAAAGACACTGCATGCAGCTGTGAAATCTGACACTGCACATCTGTGTTATTTTCAAAGCACATCTGTCAAAGCCCAAAATATTTGTGCTCTTAAATAAGATTTTAAGGCTTCTCTTTACGATCACAAGGAGTGGTGCCTTTGATCACTGTAGTAAATAACAAAGCAAAGCAAAAACAAATCATTGGGTCGTAGCAGAACCCGGCAGAGACTGAACCAACCCAGTGGCTATGCTGAGCAGAGCGGGCAGAGGAGGGAGGTGGAGGACCACCACCAGCCCCACCTTCCGGGCCTGCAGAGCCAGGAAGCTCTGGCTGCATCTTGGTCTGCCCGCGATGGGCAGACAACCCTGACTCCCAGGTTGTTCTGCCTACCTCAGATACTCCTTGGTGCCTTCTGACTTGGTCAAAACCTACATACTACACCATTTCAGTTAACAGGATTGAGCTGAAAGAACCAGGAGATGGCATGGCTTATTTTGGGCTCGGTCTTTAGGTCTGGACTGCTGAGTTTAGGTCTGTGCTTGGGGAGGGTGAAGAGGAAGAGGAGGAAGGGGCAGCAGAGAGACAGACCACAGTCCCATGTGCCCCAATAACCACAAACAAAGCCTGGGTCTGCAAACCTAGAAGTGGCTATAGTCCTTTTAGCCCTATTGCTTTAGTAGAGCCATCAAAGAAAAAGGGATTTTCCAGGTGGAAAACACAGCCCAGAGTAGGAAAACGATGAAGGCATTCATGAGATGTATCCAGGCACAGTCTGCAGTTGCCACAATGCTGAAGGCATACGGTGTCAGTGCAACATATGAAAATCTGTGAGGTTATTACCAAACATAATACCTTCTAACATCTCTTCGTAGGGTCTTGCGAGATTCCTCTAATGTCTCACATGAACAGTACTGAACATACTAGGAATTATTTTAAAAGCTTAGATCAGGAGCCCCAATAGTGATTATCTGTGTTAATTACTCAAGCTGCTCTTCTAACAAGAAACAAACAAACAAACAAAAAATCCCACACCCACCCTCTTCCCCAAGATTTGGATGGAAACGCTTTCACCTGCAGGCCAACTCATACTTCTTCACCAGCACAAAGCACAGCACGGCCTAAGCTTTTCCCAAACCCCACCCCACGCTCCACCCAGGATCTGACATTCCAGGTACACCTGCAATGCCACCACGAGCCATCTTCCCCATCAGGGGTGGTGGTCCAGGCTGGGCCGTAGGCAGGCAGCAAAAGCCAGGGGGCAAGAGGGGATGCAGGCTAGAGCAAAAGGAAATGGTACGTGACCCAATAATATAGGCAAGAGACTCTTCAGAAAAATAGATTAAATTTATTTCTGCCTGCTCCCAGCCGCTTGCCCCAGCTGGAAAGGGGTACTAACAATCCTCTTAAATCACTGGTATGAAATACTGTTCTAAACAGCGCAGTGCAGGCATTACTGTCACCAGAAACTTTCGAGATTTTATTATGGCCAGGTCAAAGCAAAAAGCCATGAATGGGATGCCTTTTGCATGATCTCCAGGGACTATAACTCAACATTCCCTATCAAAAGAGTTCTTGGCTAAGCATCTTCTCACTTTCTATCCTACAGTCCCTGTCATCTCCTCCCGTTTGTCTCAATTCCTTTGTTTCTTCCCAAAACAGCCATTTACCTGTTGTACTTCAGAGTGAGGAAGATCCTTTTACCACATCCCTGAAGTGTTACGGTTTTTCTGCGTCACGGATACCTGTCCACCAGCTGAAGCGGAGGAATTTCACAAAGTGTCCCGCTAGACAGTGGCTGCTGATGCCATCTCATGATTTCAGTTCGGCCACAGCTTCAAATGATGGCATCGCAGCCACGGGAGAGCCGAGCAGGACAGCACAAAACAACTGCATAGGAAGCCATGGTCTAGAAACACAGGCACATACAGGGATTCGACCAGTTCTTCAGAAACATAGCGAATTGCCATCACTTAGTTACTTGTTTTAGGCGGATAAAAGTGACTCTCCTTCTCCCCACACACCTCCCCCTCTCACATGCATAAACTCCACTTGTTTCCTTCCCAGCTCTGTTCCTCCACAAAAGTGAATTTCAGAACAGGCCGCACAGCTGTTCTAATTCATGAGGCTTCTTATAAAGTAAACCAGGCTACAAGCCTGAGGACAATGAAACCGCGATTTCTGTTCAGAAGAGCAGGACTGGCTAGAAACTGGCCCCTTTTCTGGCTAGCATTACAGCACCAGGAGTCGAAGGGAAAGGAGCAGATGTGATGTGTTTGATTTTTAGTAAACATTTGATAGTGATTTGCACTTTGAGATGTATGCTGTGGCCCGGTTTGAAAACTGGCTGCAAATAAATCATGATAAAAGCAATGGAGAGCACTGGAAGAAGGTGCAATATTCCGTTAGGTCCTATTTCACTTGGTATTTTCTTTAATGATCCAGAAAAGACTCTAGACGACATGCTAACTTAAATCTCCAGGAAATATCGTATTTGGAGGAGCTGCAAAAATAACGGGGACAAGGAAATAATGCACCAGGACTTAGAGAGAATAGAAATGCAGTCTGAAAATAGTCAAATGAGATTCATTCTGGAAAAAAAGCAGGCTAAGACAAGAGAAGGGAAACAATCCAAAAAAACCCATGCAGTGGGAGAGCAAGATCTGGGAAGCAGCAGTGTTGAAAATAACAGATGTTAGAATAGACCGCAAGTTAAATATGAGCGTGCTAGATGAGGTTCTCCAGCTTAGCTTCCACAAATAGAAGTATGCATTATAAAAATAAAACTACCCCTCTGAAGAAGCCACTTACATGATGGCCACACTGGTCACATAATTTTATATGTATATAAATATATACAAAGTAAAATGTATATACTACAGCAACAGGCAATAGGTACCAGCCCACAGTAAGCACAATACAATGGGACATGGCAGGGGAAAAAAGGCCAAAAGCAGGTTTGAAGCAGAAAATCGAACTCTTCTATCGTGTGAAAGGAAGGTCCAACAAAAATACTCCATGCCCCCAGAATATCTCTGCAGATGTGCAAATATGGACAAGTCGGAAGGAATTCAGAGAAATGCAACAGAAAAGTAACCGAGCAGAAAATAAAGATGAAGGGTTACATGTGCCTCACGTGGCTGAGGGAAGATGGGAGGGTGACAGGCCAGTGCCTGCAGCCTCCCTGGGAGTGCCAAGATCCAAAAGAGAGAATTATGTCATCCTGAGCACTGGAGTTTCTCACAACAATCAGAAATAATTGCACGCAGGAAAATTCATGATGAACAGAAAAAAAAAATCCCAATTATGTGTATTTGCAGCTTGCAAAATAAATGTCAAGGGAAGAGGTGGAACACAGCTTGGACTCTAAAACCTATATGGACAAAACAGGCATTATC